TGAAAGGTCTCTGAGAACCCCCAATTACTTCACCCAACCAAAGGCAGGAAGCAGTTTGTAGAGAACTATGCCAAAATTCCCAAATATTGTTTATAAATTTACATTTAAAGGGAGATATGAAAATGTTATGCAAAGGACATGGTCAACAAGACAAAATAACAGCCTACAGAATCAGAAAAGATCTTCACTAACCCCACATCAGACAGAGGTCTGATCTTCAAAATATACAAAGAACCCAAGAAATTGGTCATCAAAAGAACAAATAATCCAATAAAAAAAATGGTGTACAGACCTAAACTCTCAATAGAGAAATCTAAAATGGCTGAAAAACACTTAAGGAAATGCTCAACATCCTTAGTCATCAGAGAAATGCAAATCAAAACAACTCTGAGATTCCATCTTACACGTATAAAAATGGCCAAGATCAAAAACACTGATCGCAACTTAATCCGCAGAGGTTGTGGGTTGAAGGGAACACTCCTGTATTGCTGGTGGAGTGCAAGCTGGTGCAGACCCTTTGGATATCAGTGTGGCAATTTCTCAGAAAATTAGGAAACAACCTTCGTCAAGATCCAACAATACCACATTTGGGTGTATATCCAAAGGATTCTCAACCATACCATAAGGACATGTGCTCAACTATGTTCATAGCAGAATTGTTTGTCACAGATATAACCTGGGAAACAACCTAAATGTCCGTATGACTGAAGAATGGATAAGGAAAATGTGGTATATTTACACAATGGAGTACTACACAGTGGAAAATAATAATGACATCTTGAAATTTGCAAACAAATGGATGGAGCTAGAAAACATCATATTGAGTGAGGTAACCCAGACCCAGAAAGACAACTATTATATGGACTCACTCATAAGTGGTTTTTGTGTTGGTGAAGGGTCTCTAGATGTCTGAGTTATTGTGGTCACAGTTGGACTCCTTGGTTTGTGATTTTCCTTCTATTACTTTCTATAAGGCTGGATTTGTGGCTGCGTATTGTTTAAATTTGTTTTTATCCTGGAAAATTTTATTTTCTCCCTTTATAGTGAACGAAAGCTTGGCTGGGTATAGTAATCTGGGCTTGCATCCATGGTCTCTCAGTTTCTGCAGTACATCTATCCAGGACCTTCTGGCTTTCATGGTTTCCATGGAGAAGTCAGGTGTAAGTCTGATAGGTTTACCTTTATAAGTAATTTGGCCTTTTTCCTTTGCAGCTCTTAATATTCTTTCCTTATTCTGTATGCTTTGTGTTTTGATAATTATATGGCGAGGGGATGTTTTTTTTTTTTTTTTTGATCCAGCCTATTCGGTGTTCTGTATGCTTCTTGAACCTTCATAGGTATATCTTTCTTTAGGTTGGGAAAGTTTTCTTCTATAATTTTATTAAATATATTTTCTAGACCATTGAGCTGCACTTCTTCTCCTTCTTCTACTCCTATTATTCTTAGGTTTGGTCTTTTTATTGTGTCCCATATTTCCTGAATGTTTTGTGATGAGAGTTTGTTGGACTTGCTGTTTTCTTTGATCAGTGTGTTTATTTTCTCTATGGTATCTTCAGAATCTGAGATTCTTTCTTCTAACTCTTGTATTCTGTTGGTTATGCTTGTTACTGTAGACTCTGTTTGTTTACTTAAATTTTCCATGTCCAGCCGGCCCTCTGTTTGTGTTTTCTTCTTTGCCTCCATTTCAGTTTTCAAGTCTTTTTTTTTTTCAGTTTTCAAGTCTTGAACTGTTTCCATTATCTGTTTGATTGTTTTTCCTTGGTTTTCTAGGGTATCATTCACTGGTTTATTCAATTCTTCAAACTTTCTGTTATATTTCTCATCCATTTCTATAAGGGCGTTTTTTACATGCTGTTTAAGGGCGTCAATCACTTTCATGAAGTCAATCTTTTCTACTTCTTCTTGATTAAGGTGTTCATGTCTTCCCGTTGTGAGGTTGCTGGTTTCTGGTGGCTTCATGTTGCTTTTCAGCTTGTTGGGCGAATTCTTGCCTTGGCGTCTGCCCATCCCTTCTTCCAAATGCTCCCTTATGGATCTTCTTTTACCGGATCAGGTCTCCTTGCCTACCCAACGCTGGCTCTCCCCAACGTTGGCTCTCCTGGTGCCGAGAGATCAGGTCTCCGTGCTGGTTGGGCAGCTCGCAAACAAAGCGCCTACCCAGCTTGGTGCAGGCAGGCCATAGAAACAAAGGAACTCCCGCCCACGTGGGTGCCCCGAGGATTCGGACCCAGTGCCCAGACAGGCTGAGCTGGGTGATGTTATGTGCTGAAAGAGGGCGGTGGAGCCAAAGTGGGGAGGGTTCTGGATGGAAGCTGGGTGGGCTAGGAAGAAAGAGGCGGTATGCAGGGAGTAGAGGCCCTGCAGAGAGCCCAAGAAGGATAGGGGGCCAAGGAACCTCTGAGCTCCCCATCCCAGGCTGGCGCCGCAGGGCCAGAAACTCACCCCAACGCTGGCTCTCCTGGCGCCGAGAGATCAGGCCTCCGTGCTGGTTGGGCAGGTCGCAAACAAAGTGCCTACCCTGCTTGGTGCAGCCAGGCCATAGAAAAAAACCTCATAAGTGGTTTTTTAACATAAAGCAAAGAAAACCAGCTATAATTCACAGTCCTGTAGAACCTAGACAACAAAGAGGATCCTAAGAGAGACATACAAGGATCTAATCTACATATTAAGAAGAAAAACACAAGATCTTCTGAGTAAATTGGGAGCATGGTGACCATGGGAGAGGGTTAAAGGGGAGGGAAGAAGCAGAGAAAAATGTATAGATCAATAAAATCAATTTAAAAAGATAAAGTAGACATAAATATTGCAACTGTAATTCTTCCTTGATACCTGTTTTGTTATATGTAATTTTACTACATTAAAGTTAAAATTTTTCCTTTTTATGTAGACAGAAAAGGGGAGGTGATGTGGGATTTTCCTCTGTATGCTGTGAATCCCATATGTTAATAAAGAATCTGCTTTGGGCCTATTGCAGTGCACAACAGGGCAAGGTGGGAATTCCAAGCATATAGAGTAGGAAAGAGTAGGCAAAGTCACGCAGGAGCCATGTAGCTGCCAGAGATGAAAGGTGCGAGCTGCCACCCAGAACCTTACTGGTAAACCACGAGCCTCATGGTAAAATATAGGATGGTAGAAATGGGTCAATTTAAGATTCAAGAGCTAACTAGAAATATGCTAGAGTCACTGGCCAAGCAGTGTTGCAATTAATATAGTTTCTATGTGATTATTTCATGTCTGGGCAACTAGGAATGAATGAGCAGTCTCTACCTACATTTCCCTTTTCTTTACTTCTTCCAAAAACTCCTATATATTCTCTTGTAACATGAGGGCCTGCTTGTTGGGATTTCTGTCCTGCCCAGTTCCCACAGCTGATAAGCCCCAAAGAAAATCACACACAGGTCTACATAAGTTATAAACTGATTGGCCCATTAGCTCAGCCTTCTTTTTAGCTCTCATAGCTTATATTAACACATTATTCTTACCTATGTTAGCCACATGGCTCAGTACCTTTTTCAGTGGGGTGAGTCACATCCTTCTTTGGCGCCTGGACAGGACTGTGGGAAGAGCTTTCTTTTTCCCAGAATATTCCTGTTCTCGTTGCCCCACCTATACTTCCTTCCTGGATACTGGTCAATCAGCATTTATTTAAAATGTAATTGACAGAATACAGAATTGCCCCCCATCATTTCGTCCCCTTTTTTAAAACAAAAGAAAATATCTATAGTCCATTTTTTGGGAATGTGGGCATAGTATTCTAGGCTACTTCCTTTTGGTTGGGGGTGCTGATAATCTTATGGGGACCTAAAGAAAATTTTGAATTATGATCGAGTCTTGACTGGAGTATCCTGTGAGTCTTGATCATCTCAGGCAGCAGTCTTGAACCTGTTCTGGATGTAGAACTCAGACATGCAGGCTATCTGTTCCTACTGGAAATTTCTCAGGTGGTCTTCCTTGATCAAACCTGATTTTTCCTAACTTAGAATGAATCCACAGCCTCTCATTTCCTGTGGAAACAAAAGCAAAATCTCTTCCCCAAAGTGAAATATCTTTTGACTTCAATTTTGAAGTCAAAGTATTTTCAAAACACCTATTTTGGATTAATTCAGCAGCATATATAAACAATTATCTGTTGCTCCTTCCTCAGCATTCAAACAATTCAAAGAGAGCATAATAACATACAGTATCAAGATTCTCTGTGTATTTTCCATCTTTATGAGGCTTTATTTTAAACTCTATTTCTTTTATTTTTAATTTTTTGGATTTTTGAGACAGGGTTTCTGTGTATCTTTGTCCTAGAACTCACTCTGTAGACCAGGCTGTCCTTGAATTCACAGAGATCTGCAGGTCTCTGCCTCCCCAGTTCTGGGATTAAAGGTGTGTGCTACCTCACCTTAAACTCACAGAGATCTGTCTGTTTGTGCCTCCCAGGCATTGTGATTAAAGGTGTGTGTTACCACAACTTGAAGTCACAGAGGTCAGTCTACCTCTGTCTCCCAAGTTCGGATTAAAGGTGTGTACCACCACACCCAACTACTCTCTTTCTTTCTTCTTTATTTAAGGACTTTAACCTTTTTTTTAAGCCTGCATATATTTTTAACACACTGTAAACCATTTAGAGGTTTTCTTCATCTTTGAATCTCTCTTTACTGTATATCTTTTTCTGACCACATGAGTCTTTAATTTACTAAGCAATATGGATAGGATTAAAGCCGTGACTTTGGCGGCTGGATCCAGCTTATTCCTTAGCTTTCCAGCCTCATGACAGAGGTACTGGCCATAGCCATGTTTATTGCCACAACTCTATCGCATTTCAAGGTCTCTGCCAGCAAGCAAGCTGTGGCAGTGTGTTCACAAACCACATTCAAATGTTCTGTAGTCAGACTGCCTGCCTGAAAGAGTCAGTGTTTTTCCTGGCAGGATGGCCCAGAATGCCGATATTTTAAAATGGCACAGCTGATCACTTTTCTGCTCTGTCTTGCACCTTCATCCCACCTAGGATCATGGCGACAGCTGAGGTACTGAACATTGGGAGAAAACTCTATGAGGGTAAGACAAAAGAAGTCTATGAATTGTTAGATAGTCCAGGAAGAGTCCTCCTGCAGTCCAAGGACCAGATTACAGCGGGAAATGCAGCCAGAAAGAACCACCTGGAAGGCAAAGCTGCAATCTCCAACAAGATCACCAGCTGTATTTTAAAGCTGTTACAGGATGCCGGTATCAAGACTGCTTTCACCAAGAAATGTGGGGAGACTGCTTTCATTGCACCCCAATGTGAAATGATTCCAATTGAATGGGTGTGCCGAAGAATAGCAACTGGATCTTTTCTCAAAAGGAACCCTGGTGTAAACGAGGGGAATAAGTTTTACCCACCAAAAGTGGAGATGTTCTTCAAGGATGATGCCAATAATGATCCACAGTGGTCTGAGGAGCAACTCATTGCTGCACAGTTTTGTTTTGCTGGACTTGCTATAGGCCAGACTGAAGTGGACATCATGAGTCATGCTACACAAGCTATTTTTGAAATACTGGAGAAAGCCTGGCTGCCCCAGAACTGCACGCTGGTTGATATGAAGATTGAATTTGGTGTTGATGTAACTACCAAAGAGATTGTTCTTGCTGATGTAATTGATAATGATTCTTGGAGACTCTGGCAATCGGGAGATCGGAGCCAGCAGAAAGACAAACAGTCTTACCGTGACCTCAAGGAAGTAACTCCGGAAGGACTCCAGATGGTAAAGAAAAACTTTGAGTGGGTTGCAGATCGAGTGGAGTTGCTTCTGAAGTCAGACAGTCAGTGCAGGGTTGTAGTGCTGATGGATTCAGCTTCTGACCTTGGTCACTGTGAGAAAATTAAGAAGGCTTGTGGAAACTTCGGGATTCCATGTGAACTCCGAGTGACATCTGCCCATAAAGGACCAGATGAGACGTTGAGGATTAAAGCAGAGTATGAAGGGGATGGTATACCTACTGTATTTGTCGCAGTGGCAGGCAGAAGCAATGGTTTGGGCCCAGTGATGTCTGGTAACACTGTATATCCAGTTATCAGCTGTCCCCCCATCGCACCAGATTGGGATGCTCAGGATGTGTGGTCATCTCTTCGATTGCCCAGTGGTCTTGGCTGTTCAACTATACTCTCTCTGTAAGGATAAGTCCCGCCCCTTAGGGAGCGTGTTCGCCTCGGGCTAATGTTTGCCTATAAATTTGGCGAGCATGCTCCCAGCCGTTGCTTCTGCTTTCCTGCTCTCCGCTGGAACGGTGGTTCTGTAAGTCTATTTAGCCATTAAAGCTGTATATATATTTTTACAATCTGTCTGCATTCGTTTATGCTGTTACATCTCTCCAGAAAGATCCGCCCAGTTTGCTGCTCAGATATTTGGGCTAAACAATCATTTGGTGTGGGCCAAACATCGAGCGAGCATATTGACCACGTGGATATCTTTAAAGCAAGCCAACAAGAAAATCAGAGAAAGCAATTTGTAAAAAAAAAAAAAAGAAGAAGAAAAAGAAAAGAGAAAAAAAATGTACCTTTTAGGAGAAAAGTTACACATTCCTAGTTTGGATTAAAAAGGAAAGAATTCAAACAAAATGATTTCACATCAGAGAAATCAATTCAACTAACTACTGAACAAATCGTCCTCTAGATATCACCCACTATATGGTCATTGTTGGGCAGTTGTGTAACATTAGCAAAGAAATGATCTTTATGGAGTTGGAGCTATGTCTCTGTGCTTAAGAATCAGTGTGGTTCTCTTGCAGAGGACTGAATTTGGTTCCCAGCATCCGTGTGGAATAATAATCACCTGTAACTTCTCATTATTTCTAAATGCTAATAATGACTTTATATAAATCAGTAGTTACTACTTGATCTTCTATAGTTCACTATTTGAAAATTAAAATATTTGTATTGTTTATGCTAATAACAATACATTCTTCTCACTGCAAAAAAATAAAATAAAATAAAATGGCACAGCTTTTTTCCTGCTACAGCTGAAAACCAAAAAGCATGCAGTCAGTTTTTATCAACACCATTGAAGTGTTTTGTGGCAGGACCTCTTAAAGAGCTGCAGGGGTTTGCAGCTAAAGCCTTTTTAAAGTCAGGAAGCCTTTCTTAAACAAGAGTGCTTGCTTGCCTCTAGCAAGCAGAGCAGATCCAAGAAATTGCTGCTACCAAGAAGCCATGCTTTACTCTATTCTTTTCTGTCTAGAATTACTTCCCAAGCTCCGTCAGGTTTTATGTGGATGCAGTTTTCAATGTGGGCACCCTTTGTAACATGAGGGTCTGCTTGTTGGGGTTTCTGTCCTGCCTAGTTCCCACAGCTGATAAGCCCCAAAGAAAATCACACACAGGTCTACATAAGTTATAAACTGATTATCCCATTAGCTCAGGCTTATTAGCTCATGTAGCTTATATTAACCCATTATTCTTATCTATGTTAGCCACATGGCTCAGTACCTTTTTCAGTGGGGTAGATCACATCCCTCTTCTTTGGTGTCTGGACAGGACTGCAGGAAGGGTTTCCTTCTTTCCAGAATACTCCTGTTCTCATTGCCCCACCTCTACTTCCTGTCTGGTTGTCCCACCTATACTTCCTGCCTGGATACTGGCTAATCAGCATTTATTTAAAATGTAATTGACAGAATACAGAATTGTCCCCCACCAAGATTATGATCTCTTTTTCATTAATTGTTACATGCATATATTCCTAACACATTAAAAAAAACATCAGTTTGTATAATGTTGCATGAATGTTTGTTCTCAGGGAAGACAGCATTGTATTACTAATTGGTGTGTTCTGGGAAGACTCTTTCATTCTCAGTTCCCTGTATTTCATGTTGTAGGACTGAGGCCTCATTCTCTTTCTTCCATCCATGTTACCATATCTATCATGTTATCCTTGTTCAGATCATGTTTAGAGTCTTTATAGATGTAGCTTCTTAAATTACTAGGCAGCATTGCCTCATAGAAAAATCTCTGGTTCTCTGGTTCTTACAATTTTTCTGCCGCCTTCTTTCCAAATGTTCCTTGAGCCTTAGGCACATTAGTGTTTTATAGAACTATCCATTGAGACTTAACTCTACAACTCTGCATTGTTTATCATTTTTGGTTTTCTGTTATAGTATCTATCTCTTGTAAAAAGATATTTCTTTGATGATGACAGAAACTACATTTATCTGTTGGCACAAGGACAAATACAGTACAGTTAGGGATTATGCTCATTTAGTAAAGTGTTGGTTGTAGGTTCATGTCCAAGATCGATAACTTCACTAAACTTTGGTAGTTAGATGGGTTTCTAGCACCTTGCATTCTTTAAATTTAAAAAACAGTGAGAGAGAGAGAGAGAGAGAGAGAGAGAGAGAGAGAGAGAGAAGCCTTCATGTGAAGGGGCTCACAGGGAGGTTATTTTATTGAGGGAAGAGAATGGAAAAGGGAGAGCAGAGGGTAAAGATGGGTCCTCTGGAGACATGTGCAGCAGAAGAGGAAAGAGGCAGAGAGAGGGGGGAAGAGAAGGAGAGAGAGACAGAGAAACAGGCAGAGAGGCAGAGAGACAGGAAGGTAGAGTTAGACGAGCTGGCCAGAGCTTGTTTCTTAAGGGGGCATAGTGCATGCAGACAGAGACCAAGTAGTCAGGATCCTGAGTAGACCAGAGTACTGCTTGAGTACTGGCAAGCATGTATTCTGCCCGGTCCCCAAGGACAGGACAGTGCAGGAGCCTGGATGGTGCAGGAGAATTGTCTGTATTCTGTCGATCTGTTTATTTTGAATAAACGTTGATTGGCCAGGCAGGTTGTATAGGTGGGTCAACCAGACAGGAAGTAGAGGCAGGCAATGAGAATAGGAGAATGCTAGGAAGGAGGAAGCCCATTCCTCCCATTCCAGTTCAGACCACCAAAAAACAAGATGTAACCTGCCTGGCTGAAAGGTATCGAGCCATATGGCTAACATAGATAAGAATAATGGGTTAACATAAGCTATAAGAGCTAATAAGAATACTGAGCTAATTGGCCAATCAGTTTGTAATTAATGCAGACTCTCTGGGTGATTTTCCTTGGGGCTTGCCGGCTGTGGGGTACCCGGCAGGATGGAAACCCCAACAAGCCGGCCCTCATATTACACCTGGATGCTAACAGGCATAGTTTCTCTCTTGCTCATAGGGTCTTAAGTTTAATTAGAGAGTTGTTGCTTGTTGCAGGCTTGTTGCTGATGTCTGTTGTGTGATCTCCATTCCCCAGGGTCAGGGGCTGAGATGATGGAGGAAATGACACAGACTTCAAAAGATTTCAATGTAAAAGCTCTTCTTTATTGTAAAAAGGTCAGGTGTTTTTATGGGTTTAGGGAAATTAGGCTGCTACGTTTTTGGTTGGTTGGTTTGAAACAGGTGGTTGCTGCTAGCATGTTGTAATTGGCTAGAAGCGTGTGTCATTAGTTACTGCACTTTTTGGACTGCTCACAGGTTGTTTTGGCTAATTTTGCTCATTCATTGTGAGTTTGCATGTGCTTGCTTGTGCTTTGTGCTATTGCCCTGTCTCCGTTGCTGACTGCCAAGGTATGTATGCCACTACTACATCCCTAGAGTTGTGGTGCCAAGCTGGTAATTGTTATGGTTCATAGACATCATAGCTGAGTAGGACTGCTGGTTGCTTCCCTCCTTTGAAAGTATGCATGGTGCTTTCTGATATCGTGAACTCTAGTCTTCAGAGGAGGCACTCAGATCAGTTTCCAGCTCAGGCATCTCTGGGCCCTGTGTCTGAATCCCATGATGTTTCTACTACTAGACAGGTGCTCTGAAACTGGTGTTATGATGAACATACTATCTCCAAAATGAGTGCTAAGAACTGAACTTTGAGCCTCTGTAAGAACATCAAGTCCTCTCATTGCCATTTCTAATTTCCCTTTTGATTTTCCCCTTGACCCTTTATTAATCCACTGTTGTGAGTTAAATGAGGCATCCCATCATTGGCACATGTAATTGAACACCTCATCCTGTGTTGGTAGTGTTCTCTCTCTCTCTCTCTCTCTCTCTCTCTCTCTCTCTCTCTCTCTCTCTCTCTGTGTGTGTGTGTGTGTGTGTGTGTTTATAACCTTTAGGACTTTTATCCTTATTGTAGGTAGTGCACCATTGGGAATGGGCTTTGAAGAATTATAGCATTGACCCACTTCCTCTCTCTCTCGCTCTCTCTCTCTCTTTCTCTCTCTGCTTCCTGTATGTGTTTAAGATGTGGTCTTACAGATTCTTTCTCATGTATCTTGCTTCCACACTTCCTGTGCTGTTCTAAGCTTTCCCTCTAGAAACATAAGCCAAACAAATTTCTTCTGTGAGTTTCTGGTCATAATATTTTATCACAGCAACAGAAACATAATACATCTATATGCTTATTTTCATATGCTTTTTTCTATATTCCATATACAATAAAAAACATGTAATTACCTCTGTGAATTTCCCTTTTTTTACTTAGCCAGATGCTGATCACTTAAACTTTATTACTAGATGAACCTCCCTGTGCACATGCACCACATTTCATACCTAAAATCAAAATTCAAATCTTAACTTTTTGTGTACATTTAATGTCTTAATTTAATTTAAAATAATCTTCCCTTTAGGACTAATTGAATATTATTATGGAATATGTAAAAAATAATACAGCCTGTCAAATGGGTGTACACCAGCCATTCTAGAACTTAGGAGGTTGAAGCAAGAGGATCATGAGTTTCAGTTCATTTTGGGTTGTATAATATGATACAGTCTAAAATAAAGTATTAAAGCGTGAAGAAGAAGAGAAGAGAAAGGGAAGGGAGAATAAGAGGGAAGGATAAATAGAAAAGAAGAAAAAGAGAGAGAGAGAGAGAGAGAGAGAGAGAGAGAAAGGAGGGATCCACAAATGCTTTCCATAATGGTGATATCTCATTCTAAACATTTTGTGTCAATTACTTTGCCTGTAGTTTATTATGTCTTTGCATCACATCCCAGAAAGTCCCCTGGGACTGGAACTGTAGATGGTTCTGAATCACCATGTGAGCGCTAGGATTCATACCTGGGGACTTTGGAAGACCAGCCAATGTTTTTAACCACTGAGCCATCTCTGCATCTGAATGGTAACATCTTACAAATTATAGTGAAGTATCACACTTGAGATATTGATACAG